TTGAAAAGTGTTATGTAATTATGCTGGGCTTGTATTATTAAGCATGCAAGTAACTACTTGGGAAATGTGCTCAGTTGTTGGGCCTCAATGGCTTTCAGAAGGAATGAGGTCTGTGATTTAACAGAACATTGCCTGAAAATATATCTTCTTTTCTGAGCATTTCCCACCTAAAACTTCACTGTCATCTTGTTCCTGAGTTCCTCTGATATAGCTTCTTTCTGCTTTGCATTATTTTGTATTCTGATGCCACCCTTTAAGATATGTTTTTGGGTTTTTTTTTTTCCTTTCCGTGGTCCTTTCTCAAACTTTCAAAACCCCTTGGTGTTTTGTTTTTGTTTTTGTTTTTTTAAACACCTTCTGCTTGCACACTGTAATTTTGGAGATGAGTTGAACACTGCTAAACACAGGCTGCAGATAAGGCAGCACTGTTTATTCACAGAAATCCCGTATTTTAAAATCTGTCCACCATATCATCTGTTACGGATTGTTCCTGGAAATGCTCAAACCAGTATTTTTAACTAGCTTGTTTGAGTAATGTCTTTTCAAGACCTGTGTATTGTTTTTAAATATATGATCAGAATACTTCCATTCTCCTTTGTTCAGTAGAACACTAGATATTTAGCAAGAATTATTACCTTTTTGCTAAACTGCATTGCATAATCACAAATACAGAAAAATCTATTTCTCTGTAAATATTTTAAAATTAAAACATTACTGTTCATGTGAGCTTTCATTAAACCATCATAATTTTCTCATTCATGAGTATAATCAGGCACAGACTTTTATGCAGGGTCATTTTAACATTTCTTTTTTTTAACAGTAAGTCCACTTACAGTACAATAATGAAAATGTTCAGTCCAGTGAGCAAACGTATTTTTTCCCCTACAAAGCTTTCTGGTTGCACAAACCCCATAAAATAAATATAACCCAAATGTTGCTTTAGGTCAAGGCAACATTTTAAAGTGCAGAACTCCACTTGCCACACATGAATAATTCAAATAATGCTGCATAATGCATAGGCAATACTTACTAGCATTTCATTAATAATCAAAACCTAAAGTGACACAATACTATAACACTAATTTAAATACATTCCGTTTATAATAAGTAAGTGCTCATCTGAACATAGAACACAGTAAGCATATTGTCCCAACAAGCAAGCTTTCCACAAACTACCCTTTTCTTTGTCTGAATGGTGTTCTAACTTTGAACACAAAAGACACATTAAGAAACAAAGATCAATCCACAAGCTGGCAACAGAACCAATAGGGAGTGACATTTGGAAACAGCTGTGTGTACATTTTTCCAGAGGCTTTATTCTCAGTCAGCAGCACTGTGTCAATTTATACTGACTGAAAATTATCCCTTTCTTTTCTTCCACTTACTCATCTCCCCTCACTGTTTGGTTGCTTAATTTTTACTTTTTTTTTTTTTTTTCTCATAAGAAGAGGAAGGAAGAGGGATGTAGGATGCTTTTATTTGTCTGCAGCTACTAAACTGTGTGACAATAAGGATGAAGGGAAAACAGTCCAAGTCCTCAGCTCCATCTCCATTAGCATTTTGGTTCGAGACAGTAGTGCTGTTCTGAAGTGAATTTCCATTCATCCTCCCTTATGGAACCTTGGTTCAGTTTGCAGAGTGGTTTTGGTACGCAAGAATTAGTTTATTTTGGCAAAAACTACACTGGAGGCTCAGCTGCATGCCAAATACACTCTAGCCTCTCGAAGAAACACTAAGAGTCTGAACCAATCATTTGGCCTGCTTCAAACTGCATATGCAGTGGGGACATTTATCCAAGGAAACAGACTATATGAAGTCTTAAGCTACATATAGTGTAAATGTATGAGTCCCAGCAGTAACTGCTTTCATCTGCTTATCCTCCCCTACTGGAACAAGTATTTTGGAAATCTACACATAGCCAGAGAGTCCCAAGGACCGAAACTTCACATTAGGATCCTCAGGGACTTTACCAAAATTACGTCAGAGAAGTTCGGCAACTACATCCTCTGTATCTCCTAAACCCTTAAATTTCTATGTGTAAGCCATCTTCCACTAAACAAGCTTTCGTGACTACCTCAGAGAACCCAACCTCAGCTTTTTTTCTGACACTACAGCCTTCTTCCATTGAATTCTATTTAAGATGCTTCAGTTGAAAGTACCTCCTGGTTTATTTTTTATATTAATTCCTCCACTGGCTTCCTCTCACATAAAAATCAGGCTGCTTTCCTTTACCCCTAAGCACTTCAACAATTAATGTAATGTTACAGATCTTGGCCCTCCCTCCTTCTGGTCTTTGGCACTGTAGGCGCCCATGGCACTACCTGCGAACAAAGTTCCTTCTGCAGCTGAGATTCTTCAAAAGTTGAGTCTCCATTTCTGAGTCTGGCTAGTGTCTGGGTACTAGACACTAGTAATGCTATAATCAAAAGGCAGAGTTCCTACCTTGTGCCTGAATTTAACAAGAATTAAATTGCTCATGACACAGCCAAGATTCAGATACAATCTCATTGGCAGCAGTTATCTTAGGGCTGCCAAAGCATCCCTTCGTAACCGGGCCAGCAGTATAGTGTTGAACTTGTTAAAGTTTTTCTGTATTCCCAGTTTGCAAATCAGCAACTCTTCCTCTCCCACAAATCTTTAAAGAAGAAATGCTGAATCCCATTCTTTACAACACTACAAAATAGTGAGAAACAGTGCAGTCAGAGACAGTTAAGGCTATCACTAAAGTAAAAGCGCCGATTCAATTCATAGCTCTGGAGGTGAAGTAGGGCACAAACACACATTGTCTACAAAGCTGTGTAATCTTTCTCTGCACCAGAAAACAGTCTTGAACAAAAGCCAAAGCTGAAAACCATGCAACTCCCTAAAACTACTTTTAAACATTAACTGGGAGGATTAAAACATGTGTCTCACAGATCTTTGGTTTTGGAACGTGAAATCTGGTCAATTAAAGTCATGTCAAAATTCATGAGGAAAAATGCTCCCTGAATCAGGAAACCAAGTTAAAGAGATGACAACTGTTATTTGCCAAGCATGTGTGCTACTGTGTAGGTGATTGGGACACATGAAAACAAACTGGTTAAGAAAACACCCTTATGGAATGTGGAAATCTTAATCCCCAAATCTTGACTCCTAAAGCCTTAGGAATCATTGATCATAATGGATATGAAGGCTGCACCTCTACAAGTGCATGCAGAGCAAAGCATCCTGTGAAGATACCCAAGCTAACTCTCCAGGATCAAGCAGCATAGCTGCACCCAGGTGGTGCCTGCAAGCCAATATCCCCTGCTGGTCAGTAGGGCTACTCAGCTTTGGCAAAAAAACCACACTGAAAAAACTGTGCTACTTTAAGTGCCCAAGCTAACTTTTACACTTCCACTTCATGCCATACTGGCTCATGTAGATGTAAAGATGTAACCATAACGGTACATAAGCTCTGAAAATGCTTTTAATATCAGAAAGTTATCAGTCATACTGGGTCAAGTACTCTCTCAGAAGTAGACATGAAGTGAGACTTTGGTGCAGTGACCTCCCTTGTTCTGTGAACAAAGGGAAGTCCTGTGCCTTTATATCCCCATACAGTGAGATAAAAGTGTGAAATAAAGCATAGTGAAATCAAAGTTTGAAGCAGGCCATAAAACAATATTCAACACATATTTGCAGTAACTCAACACAATATTGTCTCCACCGACACTGAAATTAAAGTGACATCTTATGTGTTGCAAAAACATAATAAACAAACAAGAAGCAATCCCCTCTCAAACCAATTTCAGGAAAAAAAGAAAAAATGTCTCTGATAAAAAATAGGAAAATATGCTTTGTTAAGAAAGGAATTCACACAGATTTCCAAAATAAAAAGGGCACACTTTTTACCTGCAATTGCACAGGGCTGGAATTGTGGCTGCCATATTGAAAGAAACCAAAGAGCACATGAAAGCTGAGCTGCGTTGTCCAGTGACAATTTCCATCTCAAGTCAAAGATGGTAATGGCCAGAAATACCCCGCTTCTCTTGGACTTTTTAAAAACAAACTCACTTCCCTACAGAAAGAAGGGGCTCCTCCTGTCTAAACAGTCACAAATGACCTTTGGAAGGTTCTGCAGGAAGCTGAACTAGATGAAGCACTCTCTTTAGTTCAGAAAAACATCATAATTTGTTTGCCATTGAATAGCTGCCTAAGTATCTTAGTGCCTGATTCTAATTTAATACAGGTTTCATTCAGCTGTCACTCAACTAAAATGAATGCAACAGAGTAGGCGGAAGGTCTGGCTGACCAGTTCTAGAACTAGAACAAATTCTGTGGAAATGCCTTTTCAGCTGATGGTATCACAGAACAATGCAGCCCTCCCACTCTCACACGCCATGTCCCTATGACTAATGCCCCATTTCTTTTGGTTCTTCCACCAATTCGCTTCTGTCTGATTACAAATGACAAATTGGAATTCTTTCAATAATAAGGGACCTTATTTTTTATAAATACATACTTCTCATCCAATTTCCCTTAAAAAATAAGCGCCTAAAGAAAACTGAAAAATGTTCTAAACGCCCCCAAATGCCACTGATTTTACCATACTTGGAAATAATATAATATTATAGAAATTGCACTCTCCCATTATATTCATTACCTGCAAAATCAATTTACCAGCACTGGCTTCTTTGCTTCTTTTTTTCCTTTTTTTTTTTTTTTTTAATCTAAATGCATTATAGACAACGATGGTCTCATTGCTCTTCATAATACTTCCTACACTAATACCAAAAGGAATTGCAGGTGTCCTCTTTAATTAAGGTATTTACCAAGTCCCTTATCTATGCACACATGCTGTTTTACACAGAAATTTAAATATTCTTTTCCTCTAGAACTATGACAATTTTGGTAAAGTAATTCTTGAAAGGGCTAACAAAATTTCTGATGCTTGCAAGTTTTAAAACATTAAACAAAAATGAGGTGTCATTCCTGATGATCAGGCACTGTGTTTAATCAGTCTATTCCAAATCAGATGCAGAGCGACCAGCAGAGCATTTTGCAAAAGGGAAATGGATTTATACTGAACTTGAAAAAGGAACAACTTGTTTTCCAGCCACGTACACTTCAGAAATATTCCGATCATCACCTGAAATAACATGGTCAAAACAAAGATTTGCACTTAAATCTATGCAGTGATTTCATTAATGATAATTATGCAATCCACTAAATGAGTTTTGTAATACATCATTTGCAGTCATTGTTTCCTAGGACTGTGAAAGTTTATTTGGAAAGAAATAGTCAGGGCTACCACAAAGATCAATGGATGTTTAAACTACCCATGCGTTTTTTGAGAAATAAACACAGCATTCAGCTGCTACTGTGTGTCATGGGTTTTCTACATATTTAATAGATTCAAACGCTGAAAATATTATTTATCTGTACAGAATCCATGTTGTTGCATCTGAACTAACTCAAGTACCAGGCAGCAGTAAAGCTGGATTGCCTCAGCCATCTTCTCAAAAAGGCAAAAGTTGAATTAGAGAACGACACAAACATGGACAGAACTGACACCAGTTACCTCTTCCTAACAACATAACAGGCAGCGTAGCTCTTGTTCCATATGATGCCTTATAAAGAATATCTGTTCTCTTAGCAGGGTGGAATTGTTTGGGTTGGGTTTTCTGTGTTTTAAAGGCCATCTTTTTTTTGGGGGGGGCAGTAAAAAAACACGATGGCAATTGGTCTGCAGAAGTCCTTCTGAACCGAACTGGTTCTGAACTGGTGATTAGCATGTCAGCATGATTTTACTGTGAAATACGATTTAGCTCATACTGTAGACAAATACAGATGTGGTAATAAATATTACGAAGTAAGTGCATCTGATCATGCTAAACTGACTATTTAACTATGTCGGAAAGAACAAAAGTTAAACCACTCAATTCTTACTCAGTATTTATAAATAAACATTAATAAATGTAAGTAAATGTATCTTTTATGTAAATAAATACTAATAGTGACATTAATGTTTATACACATTGTAAATAAATATATTTAATTACTGTAAACAAGTGTATGTTTAATCATGTATAAATAAGTTCTTTAATAACCTTAACATTAATTTTGGCCATTTTTCATACAGGAAACAAGAAGAGAACTTTATGTGGCAGAGAATCAGAACATACCTAGATACAGGAACTTCTGGAGAGTGTCCTATAAAAAAGTGTGAGAAAACCAAATTCAGAAAGCATATCATAATCATTTGAAGCTTGAAAGAACTGATAAAAATAGTTTTCCCTAATATGCCTACTAGCAGTAAATCAAAACTTAATTTGCATGTTTCCTCTTAAGTAACTTTCAGTAAAGAGGCTGTATGTCTCAGGAAGAAAACACTGCACAAGTTTGACAGTATAAACAAATACATGCCTAAAACACAGCACTTCCCCCTTCCTATTTCTTAGAGTTCTCAAATGCATTTACTTATTGAAAAATAGGAGAAAATTATAAGCATTCTTAAAGTCCTAAGAATTGTTAAGTTAGCTAAAAATGTTTCGACTTAAACTCAGAAATATTTTTTCCAGAATTATTTGAATTAAGAAGGTGGTTTAAAGAATTTAATCCATATTATTGTGGTTTAAACAGACTAAGGAACAGCTACCTTACCACTTATGCCCGCATGTCTAAGTAAACAGTGACATTCAGAATAGAGACAGCAATCAAAAGTTTGGCCACATCACTAAATTCAAGTTGTTAATTACCTTTTTCTACCATAAAGGATTTTGTTTGAGATGTGCCCACTGCATAATGCCAATACTTCTTACATGTTTGCGTAAAAACTGTGCTTTCAACTCAAATTAGCTGTCTCGAGTTCTTTCTTAAGTTTACAACAGCAGTGCAGTCAAGGCAACCTAGTCTTTACCTAGTAACAGGTAGCCATTTTTGAATTTCAACTCAAAGTGTTAACTAAAACTAAATTGCTGCCATCTGTCACTGCAAATAGTTAACTTTAATTTTCATCTTGGACTAATAAAGCACGCATTTAAAAATGTTACATGCATTTTTGCCCACGGGGATATGGGACAGTCACTGAGGACAGCAAGATTGTAAAAAACCCCAAAACCAAAAAACAAACCCAAACAAAGAAACAACCACTGAACTTCTCTGCTGAATACAGACAGCAGTGGTATATTACATCTGATTCCTGTTATTGGAATAACTCTGAAGAGATTTATTCTGGCTGTACCATAGACTTTCCCCACATCATTACTGGTAATTTTTTTGATCATTAATCCTGTTCTGATTACCTCAAAATTATCAGCAGAGAACAAATCAAATGGGCTGTCTGAAGCCTTCGTGTTGATTAGCAGTGCATCAAATTCTTTGCCAACCTCAAAGTTGCCAATCACGTCATCTAGTCCTAAAGCTGAGGACAAAAATAAAACAGGTCTTCAACACAAGCCTCTTTCCACCACCTGGAAGCACCTGGAAACTTACTTGAGGTGTTCGTAAGAAAAATGACAGTAATTTAGATGATTACAAAGAAAAACATGAAAGCAAATTCAACAGTAAGCACGTTAGCATCTGATTTCTTAAGTAATCTCTCAGTAAAAAAACATGTATTTTGGTGAATTTCTGAAGGACATCTTTTTAGGAGTAAAAGAAATCTGAAAAACAGTTTGAACCCCTCTTTTGATTTGTGTTCTTTGAATGTATTCCATTGATTTTTTGTCATTGCAGATGTGATGTATAGACCACTATCTGTTTAAAGAGAATAATAGTTGTTTACATTGCAAAAGCATTGAAGCTCCAAAAGGGGCAATGAAATGAAATCACAGAAAGATTGAAGTATATAATACTACTGGCCTTGTTAAGGCAGTATTAGATTTAATTGTTTAAACAGTTTAAGTAGTTTTGACAGGTTGTATAGACCTATTACAATAGTAACATACAATAATATGATAATAACAGAGGTGTGCAGAGAGGACAATTTAAGGTAATTAGCAGAAATAAAGAACAATATGGTGTGGAAAAGTAATCATAGCCAGATCTGAAGGTGTCATACCCACCTGTAAGGCTTGTTTTTGTGGTCTATTATTTAGCTTTGTTATTTCAAAGCTTTATTACAACCTCCAGTTATCAGGTCCACAAGGACTGAAAATGTACAGTTTCAGCAGCAGCAGCTAGGTGCTTGCAAGTGCTTAGAATACCTAAAAAGAGGCCTCTGTGTCTCCCTGGAAATTACTTAAGATAGTTACAAATTGTACAAAGTACATGTGTATTAAATCACCTTCTCCCATACTCCTGAGTTAAACTAAGTTAACAAAGGGGATAGTATCTACAAATAATTTGTTCACTTGTTTTCAGATTGCTCCTCTCCAACAAAAGAACTTCAGCCTCCACTGAAGTCTGTGCGTGGCAGGAACTTCACAGTACTTTAAAAATGCTTAAACTCCTGCAAATGGTGAAATATTTTGATTACCGACCAGTTTCAACGAAAATGATCTCATACCCCTTCAGGTTTCTGAGCAGACTGCAATTTTTAGATTAAACACAAGGGGGTGATAAGTGCTTGGGAGTCCCGGCAAAACAAAGAACTGCAACACAATCGCTCATTTAAATCTCTGCAAACCGTACCCATCCAGGCTACTGGAAGGTTGTGCGAATAGTTTTTTTCAGTCCTTGAAAGTGATTCGGTAAGGAAAACCCAGCTCAAAATCAATATATAAAATAATCACACTACTACGTAAACTCAAGAACCCAGGTAAAACAAGAGCAAGAGAAACTGGGAAAGGAAACCATGTGCGAGTTTGGTATTTTAACAAGTATTCCTTTCCATATCTCAGCTAATTTATTCTCATCTTTCATGAGAACAGTATACACTGTGGAAAAAACCCAACCCCCCTCCTTTTTTGTTCCCTGCCCATTTTCTGTCTTCTCTCTTTCCCCATTACACCCTCTAGAAATTCAAATACAGTTCCGAGAAGACCTGTTTGATATTTTCATTACCTCTTTCAGACTTCCATTAATAGTTCATAACGGTGTTTTTCAACAGCTACAGGAAGACTTAGAACCAGTTCTTTAGCAGTTAGCTCATTTCCGCTAACTGAAATGGTATTAAGTTTTTACTTATGTGTGGATTTGCTCTCTGGTAAATCATGCAAGTTCTGCTAAAACTTTGCTAATTGTATAAATCTGTATGTGCATACTGATCACGGCAAAACATGCCAGTGAACCAAAATAACTGATGTACTATATGACATACACTATATGACTATATTCTGCAGATGTAGTTATACCTTAAAAAATATTTTTGCATATCCCATTTAAAGTTTGTGCTTTTCTCTGACTGAGGAGAGTGATTTGCATGATGTTTTGATTTGCTGGAAAGACAGTGATGAACTGCCTTACTGAGAGCTACGAAAACAGAAACAAAATTAGAAACTGATGACAAACAGAATTCATGATTTTACAGTAATTGCACATCTTTTCCTCTAAGTGCCAGTTGCTGAGAAAACAGATTTCCAAATGGTGTAGTAAACATACTAGCACTGATGATAAAGAAGTCTGAGGATCTTTGCAAAGAAAATATACAACCCTGAAAAATCATTAAGATTCTGTTATTAAACTCACAACATCAATATGAATACTCCTCTGCAATGAGCCTAGGATGGGTATGAGAGACTGAAGGATCTCTCTTCCCAGGTGCCATTTTAGACTTCACTCTGGAACCAGAAATTCTGTGAATTCAGCCACCTTTTAAAGAGAAGGAGACTTAACAGCAAGAAGAGCTGTAGCTCGGTTTACATCCTAAAGAAATTTCTTCTTACCTTGGCTTCCTCCCAGAGTGGCTAGTTGAAAAGCTTCTTCAAGAGTTAGTCCTGTTTCATTCTCTTTATTGATCTGATGGCTATTAGATGCTATCATTGTTTTCCTGATGGCATCAAGCATAGAAGCTGAATATCCACCAGCAACATCTAGAAGAGATCAGACTCTTAGAAACAAGCTTTGGGAATAATTTTCTGAGTTAAACGTCTAGAAGCTTTAATTAAATATTACAAAGTAGCAGATGTGTTAAAAACAGTTTTACTGAAAACTGTCTCTGAATGCATAGTTCCTAATAAATGTGTTCTCACGTGCAATGTCAGGTAAATAGAACACAACACAGAGCATCAGAAACCTGAAAAGGGCTTGTTGTTCAAGCCCTGCTTACTCTCATGACAGGAACAGAACTTTCTTCCTTCATTTTTGGGTTTTTTAAACACTTTTAGAACCAGCTCTAGATTTCAGTATGCTAGAGTTCACTACTCTAGAAGCAGTGGGGGAAAAAAAAGTGGGTCCATAAAGTGGAGACATGCTGACTTTTAAATACAAACAAGTAGGCATGTTTTTGCATCTCCCAGTGGTTTCCAAAAGAAACCATTTTTATAGCAAACTACTAACCTGTGCCAAGGCCAAGTTTCACATTGTGTTTCAGGACCTTTTGCACATTTAAGACACCGCTGCGCAACCTGGATTGGAAGAAGAAATGTGTTCTGTATGAAACATGCAGAGAAAGTTCAGGAAGAGTAGGGCTGCAGAGCTGTTCATGCCAAAGGCTCTGAGAACATGTGCAATAGATTGGGTTTAATAAACTGGAACATTTGCATTCATATACCTGAAAGATAGGATTTAAAAATTTAAAACAAATGCGGTTTTCTCAGTTAAGATCTCCCACAGTTTTATAGTTACGTGCTGAAAACGAGCTTTCAGCATACCTGTGAAAAAGTCCAAATATGGTGTAAAATATATTACAGGACATGGGAAGTCATGTCATGAGCTTCAGTAAGTCAGCACAAGCAAGATATTTATTATGTTAAAGGCAAAGTTACTGTTAACATTTAGTACAGTATCCTGGCTGGATACCATACAATACCTCATTTCTGCTTAATAGAAAAAAGACTACATAGCATATTCCCATTTCCCCAAAACATATGCATGCTTTGGAGGGAAAGAAGACAGCCTGAATTTGCCACTGATAGAACAATCAGAAGAAATAAATTTTAAATAAATAAGTATTTATTTATATGTATGTGTGTGTGTATATGTCTATGTTGAAAGATGACAAGTCAGTCCAGATGCATGCAGAAGTGGAGTATGAATGGCCCTGCTCAACCCAACACATCACTTCTGGTGGAACAGGGTATCATATATGTAGCTGTGTAACAGCAGGCTGAACTCAGGGTATTATGTAAGCAATGGCTTGGTTTAATTGTATACATCCTTTTTTCGACTTACGAAAAATTAGAATTGGGGCAATGCGAAATTGCAGCTCCACGAAGACTAAAAAGTTTCAGCTCTTCTTCAGAAAGATAACAGGCATGAGCCATCACTGTCTAAAGAAAAACAGAATCACCAATTTACTGAATATTGCATTTACTTCAGAGCCTGTGATTTTTGCTGCACTACTTTCAATAGCCGAAAGGACACCTGTTACCATCAAGGGAAATTAATGTATTTCTTGAATGAAGCTCTTGAAAGGGGAGAAACTCTCGTTAACTTCAGTATGCGTGACATATTCACTCCCTCAGCTTTTTTTTCCATTTATTAACCTAAGAAGACAGGGTGGCTAACACTTGCAGTGAAACTTCCAGGAACAAAAGCAAGAATTCCCCAGTTGCCCTAATGCTGTAGTAACCTTATGATTTATATTTTGTAGCTAACACAGATTTTAAGTACTGGGGCTAGGAATACATCAGATAGAATGGAAGATGTATGTACTCTTGCATGTTTCCCATTGTCTCTCTAAAGGTTTGCACGAAGTATATATATATATATGTAACAATATTCTTTAATTAAAAGAATCTAATTTTTTATGCAACTGATTAATGACTTTTCTTTCTTGGCCTGCATAACTGACTTTAAAAATAAGATTACAAGCAGTATACACAAAAGACAGAAGTATGGGACAGTATCGTTTAATAGGACATAAACCAATTATTGCTAGACAAATCTAATTGGCATTACCGCATATGCCAAATGCCTACTCAAAAAGAAAAGCAAGAGCTCTGTCAGGCCTTGCAGTCTGCCAATAAAAATGAGAACAGCACAGGGCCTGTTTCCATTGAGCATCCCCTAATAGCACTGTAGCCTTCCCATCCCTACTCATCAAGCTCAAATGTAATTGAAAATGCAATGAGAATAGCCACATCTTAAGGACATACATATAATAGTGGCTGAGCTGTACCTCTGCTGATCTGTACTCCATTTCAAAAAGAAGGAAATATTTCACCACAGCTCTGAAAAACATACTTTCAAAACAAAAACAAAACAAAAAATAAACAAACAAAATAATTTACTGTCTTAGTTTTGGTGGTTGGAGATGGAGAAATGTCTGCAGTTTTGTTACTATGCTTGTGTTAATCGAATGCCTGAAAGCACTGGTAACCCTGATTTTTAATGACTTTTCAGTGTTACGCATATAAAAGTCTGCCAGAATTCACCTGGTTTTGCAGAGGTAGTATTCTCTTTAGTACACCGACACAACAAATCAGCAAGCATAGGACTGCATGAGAGATCAAAAGTTAATACTGTGTACATACTAAAGCAGTCCATATTGAATTCTCAGGTGAAAAGGAGTGTAAATAAGTAACTTCCTGGAGTACAATTTCAAAGAAAGAAATGGGAGTTCAATAGCTAATTGTCATGGAGTTCCCAGCCGCCCTTTTATGCCTCTGAAATTTCTTTCCTAAAATTTTTAATCAATTTGACTAATGTTTTTGTACTCTGACTGTAATTAAGCTGTTCATACTCACTCTTGCATGGGCTCTCCACTGTCTAATAAGCACTAATAAGTGCCTTGGCACTCCAACCTGTGCTTAAGTGGGGGCTGGTATCAGATCTGCATTTCTCTCACCAACATAAATATTTAATGAATTTCAACTCTTCAGGCCGCTCTGCCTCTCAACACTTGCTAAAATCAGCCGATAAGAGCATTTTCGAAGTCAGAACAGTAAAGTGTACCTGCCTGTATGTGAGATTCACACACAGAACACAAAAAGCTGCTTTTCTGTAGGAAAATGCCAAAAAATGAAGTTGGCCCTAACACAGCACCATAGAACAAATCTTGCAGTGTGCAAGAACATTGTAATATAAGCACCACTGAGTACTGCCCAAGAATTACCAGCTCCTACAATACCAACTTTACCTAGTCTTCTTCTAATCCCACTGTCCCAATTCTTTTTGGAGACCTTGTAAAATGGATCAGGGAGCATAAAATACCTTTATTGTTCATATCCCCTAAAATGATTAGGAAAAGTGTAAGCTTGTCTAAAGTTCCAATACCTTGACCAACATCTGTGCAACAGAGAACATAAAAAACAATTTACCCTAGACAATAGAACCATAGAATAGTTTGGGTTGGAATGGGCCTTGAAGCTCATCTAGTTCCAACCCCTCTGCCAAGGTCAGGGACACCTTCCACAAGATGTCACTTGAAAAAATACTAGAAGCTTTTCAGGTAACTACAGTTAACCATTATATTGCCTACATAAATCTAAGCTGTGCTGTGGAAGTTTTTATGCAGCTACCTTGCTGGTAAGCAGCTTGTTTTTATCATATAATTCAGTATAATTCTGGTAGGCAGGAAACATGTTCTCCACAAGTTTGAGTTCTTCTTCATTTTCACTTATGTGACTCTGCAATAAGAAAATATAAAGCAATGAGTGTTTCAAATAGCATAAAACCTGGCATTACAACCTTCTGAGCAACCTGCTGGTGCTAAACATACAATGATAGAAAGTAGTATTTGTAAAATCTATAGTTAGACCTAGTCCTTGGCTTTCTTTTTTTTTTTTTTATTGGAGAGGTCCTTGGGACCCAGAAGAGTAGCTCCATTTGTTTCGTTAAAAGTGAAACTAGATGGTACACCTTGATTGTGTGTCACAGCAGTTTGGTGACACGACAGCCCACTTGTATTTGGCAAATTTTAAAATAATAAATAAAATAATACAGGTAACTGCAAGGTAAAAGAGAAAACCAGCCTACCACACAGTGAACCCTGGGCTCAGGGCAACATATACATAGCTGCTCCATGTGTCTTTAGATGGGCTGATTAATTCCTGGTCTCAGATAAAAATCTGATCCTCCTGTACTCCCACTGAAGCATTTATTTTCAAAATTCCCACTTTGTAATGACAAAAAATCCTAATGTAAGACAGCTTTAAAACACTATATGCTTAGAACTGTGTAATCAAAAAAGAAACATCTCGAAGTTTCAATAGACCTGTAAATTTTAGAATTCGTCTTTTCTAGACAGAGGAACTTCATCATACAGAAAATCCTACAGCAATGTTAACAATGTTAAGTAAGATATAAAGATGAGTAATTCTTTTATCTACTGAAATGTGGTCTGTACAGAAACAGCACAAGGCAGAGACAAATGTGGCAACCTTGGACTAGGGGAGAGCAATGCTTAGCAACCCACGTTTTTCCAACCTACAATACCAGATGCCGGTCTTCTAGTGACCATGTGCCAGGGCTTGCTGAATTGTGCATCCTCCCACCTATACGCTTTCTCATTTCCTGTGCAGGTCACAGCGTTCTTGCGAAGTACCATTAATAAACTCAGAGGAATGTAAAAGACAGACCCAAGGTAAGAATGTAATTTAAGTCTTTTCCTGACAATACGAAAACTCTCTGGTCGGTACACTATCTATCCAAACTATTTAAATCGTATACAGCGCTCTCGGAGGTTACCTGCACATGGAGATCACGAGCCTGTGCTATATCACCAAGCGCACAAAGCAAATCCTCTGTGCAGGAAGGGCCAAAGCGGGGAGTTATTACAGGCTGTACTCTCGGATACTGAAAATATTAAAAAGACATATTAGGGATTCTACCTCTATGTATCAGTATACAAGCCTTTACACAGCAATTATATTTTGCTCCATCACTTACTGCATCCTTGCCAACTCACACTGTAGAGTCATTTACTTATTTTCATTAGAAATTTCACCACTGAAATAGAGAATCAAAGTTCTTTTCTGAAAACAGTGTTAATGCACCTTAGTAAAGAAGTTATTTCCACTATAACTCTTTCACTGAGTCACTGAGATTTTAGCAGACTTCAGGAGAAGCACTGGATGCTTTCTCATATTTGCTGACAGTCCAGTATGCATTATGAGAAACAAGTCAGATGAATGAACAGACATTTTTCTGAGTCCCACTTCTGTGAGTATCAAAGATTTAATGACTCAAAACTGCAGAGTGCTTGTTTGATCTTCTCCAACCATTATAGCAACAAACTGTCCCTGTACTGCCCAGACAGGAAGATTAGTGGTAGCAACAGATATGTTACGCAGTAGAGAAGAGGACACCAAGACTAGAGCTACAGATGTTTACCTAACACCTTGCACTTCTGGATTAAAAGTTTTATAAAAAACAGACAACAGCATTACAAGTCTGCCTTCAGTCACAGGAAATAGTTGAGCATATGGCACCATTAGAAGACAGTATATTACTTGGTTTGCAGTTTCTTATACCATCTTCCTCATACAAGGAGCTCAGGACTTCTCCAGATGAGCCAATTTAGTAATACATATGATTACGACATGAAACTCTGTGTATCTGCTCTTGAATACTTTAAGACACAAAACTCAACAAATTAAGCCACTGAAAAGAAGAAAGGCTGATAAGAAAGGTATCCCTGACTGAAATATGTATAGAGTGTAAATCCCATATTTACACCCCAGGAGTGAAAACCCGAATTTCTTCAGAAACACAGTGGAAGACATGTGCTGACCCAAGATACTAATTTGGTAATGGATTAGCAACTGTACTGTAAAAACACTGATTTCTGCTGGTGAGAACTTCTTTTCACTAGTCTATTTATATACTACAGTGATAGACTGTGACTTTCACCAGAAAATTTTCCTTTCTAGGAAGCCAAATATATTTTAAAGTTGAAGCACAGCACATTACTCTGCTGTGCTCTCACCACTGAATTTACACTGCTACCAGTCCATTTCTCAACAACATGGCTAGCAGAATGTTCTTCAGACTGATGACATCTCTCTACTACACAGAAAGGAGTATATTTATTGATTTGTCACTAAGTCAGCACTGTTTGTCAGAGGGATTAACTATTTCATGTATTTACACAGAATTTCCTGAATACATAAGTGAAAAAAGAAGAACTCTACTTACTTTCTTTTCCAGTAGTTCTTTAACAAACCTGGAAAAAGGTAGAAAAAAAACTGTTAGAAACCTGTTACCTGTGCTATAATTTATGAACAATATAGACAGTATCTACTTGGATACCCTGTTAAGTATTTCAGACATTTTTTACAGAAAGTTGGGCCAGATTCTCAGATGAAATAAAAAGAAGCAACACAGTGAAGTCAGGATAGTTACACCAAATTATGCTAGTTGTGAATTTGACCCTGAATATTCAGAATCCTTTTCATTTGCAGTAATTAACATTAGACATGTGGTAATTGCTCTGAGTTGTCACTGAAAACCAAATACATTACATTAAATTCATTGAAAACATAATTATAAGCTACAGCTGCAACATTACAGAAAAAAAAATTGTCCATGAATCTAAATTACAGCATTAAACATAATCTATTATTTAAAATCCTATTTTTAAAAGATGCTGCAATATTTTGTGCTCACTTACAGCAGTTACGTAAGTCCTCATTCACTTAGAGGACCCTTGCTTTTCTGGAAATGCTTATAATAATGTTAGCATATAGATACCTACCTTATGGAAAATACAGTAGAGATATACCTACTTTGTAAATAAAAGAAGCTGCCTGAGGGACCTCTAAGTAAAAACCCCAAACAGTCAATACAGATAATGCAGATGAGCAAATAAAACTTCCTCTGACTTTGCAGGGAAGAAATTCTTTGAAAATTCATATGCACAGTGTATGCAAGTAATTTCCAGAAGCCTGTTTAAGATGGTTTCTGGAGAGCATCTCTGTGAATTTTTATGCCATAGTTATATTTAGAAAAACAACAAATACTGAATCAAATTTGTCAAATATCTTCTGATGAAAAATAAAATAATGCTGGAGGCTAGATTCAGAACACCGAAGCTGCTGCTAGATCAGCAGCTAGAAGTGAGAAACCTAAGCTCAACCTTGACAATGACCAAAAAAACCTGAGCCCACCATCCAACTGTCAAAGCCAGGATGTAACGTGAACTAGATATCATCTGTCTGTCTCTCCTCTCATTGATCCACCTGATACAATAATAAAATATTGACTGGAGCAGAAACTGTAACACAAAGGACAACTCTCAGATGATAATCCAACATCTCCTGAAACAGATGGCTGTTTTCACTCTTTTTCACATTATCTGAACAGCGTCAGCATTGTTTCAAAACTGAAATACCCTTCTTAAAATACTCTATGCTTTTTTGGCTTATGTACTTCTCTATAAGGAAAGAAGCCCAGATTCAAACCACTGTCTTCTGTAGCAGTAGAACAGATTTGAACATTGGTCATCTACTTTCCAGATGACAGCTATTACCAGCATATAATGTATATAGTAGAGTGCAAATTATTAATACTACATATGTTAAAACGACTTTAAACACTGCTAGAAATCCATGACCATTTCTAACTTTTGCTAGCATTCTTCTAGCATGATTTGCAAAAATAAGGTAGCAACTTCACACAAGTGCCGTAAAATCTTTATATTACTGTTATTACTGTTTCAAATACCATTCTCTTTCAGCATGATATTTGAAACATTTATACAAGTAAATAAATAGTCCCATAAGAAATGCTGTATGTCTGCTTAAGCATTTTCTGAGCATGGATGTGAAACATAAGGGCATCCTAAGATAGCAGGCTGCCATTCTGCAATTTTGGATCCCCTCTGCCATGTACATTGCATTGATTTCGTTCTCTGTCATTCTCCTAGCTGCAAGTTAGAGTAATTTCCCTGGTGCTATGCTGGAGAAGAGAAGAACCACAACATGTTTAAAATGGGGTACATGAAAGGTGGCTCCTACAATCTGAATAAAGGTTTACCGTAAATGGGGGAAGGAAGTAGTTCAGAAGATAATGGGAGTGAAGGAACTGACTGCCACTACACCATCCCATGTCAGGTCACATCACCTCCCCACAGAGCTGCGAAGGGAAGAAAGGAGGCAGAAAACAGACAACCACCCACACATATTTTTTCCAAACCCTAGAGCTGTAGATTCTCCGTTTCTTTGGAAGAGCTACAGAGAAACTGCTGTGTGGCAACCTCAGAGATTGCTAGAACTGTAGGAAGCAATGCCATCAGAAGGAAAAAAGCTGTTCCTAATAAATTCACACCTGTAAGTTCTTAGTCAGCTTCACGTTCACTTTTCAGATGGATAAAAAATTCTTACTTCTAAAGGTTACGCCACCAATTTAATCACCTCACCTTTCTGTCTCTTGGACAGAGTCTTCAGTAGTCTCTTTGTATTGTGGCACACTGTCATTCATATCCATGCAGACTTTTCCAACAAATGCTCGCTGACCAAATTTATCTGTTGAGATCCATAAAAGAATAAAAAACTCAGATTCATTTGTTCTCAAACACTGCTATCAAAGCTTGTAGTGAAATCAAAATAGCAAATGCCACCCCAGCAAGTTTTATTTAAGATGAACAGAATTTATTTTTTCTTATCTTTAAGTTAGGACCATCCATGTGACTCTTAAGGCTAAAAATGAAAGAGAGGAAAAAAAAAAGAAAAAAGAAATTTTTCTTCTTCCACACTAGTACTCAAATCTATAAATATTTAAATTGAGGATGAGACTACTGTAGTTTAACCACAACCAGAATTCATAATGGCTGTATATGAAGATGACTGCTCTGAAGTAGAGGATGAGAAACACAAGTATCAAAGTATAGTAGCTGAAGTAGAAAATTATCCTGAGCTGAGAAAAGGCACAAAGACCTCAGCAAACCATCTTTTCTTAAGAGAAAGGAATGAAGTTCCTAACATACCTCCTACACACAGCTGGATGGAAAAAATTCCCACTGCTATCTCTAGCCTCCTTTCTTGAGATTTATCATGCTAAGACAAGGAACTCGTGTGTAAGACTTAAAAAGGAATGCATATAATGTTCAAATCTAAGCTTTTAAATGTACTTCTAAACTAGATCTCTTTTGCACACTTCTACTGTCTGAGTTGTTGAATACAACACCTTTAAAGTTTTAGGTTTTCATACAAAATCAGAAAGGGAATTTTCATTAAATTGCTCTGCTATGGGAGCTGGCTGAGCCTTGAGAAATCCTGCAAGAATCACAACACTGTCAAACAGAAGGTATTTGCACTGGTGAACAGAAGGGAGGGATAAGATCCTGACGCACCTCCCACTATTATGGTTTCTGAGGGTGTATGGATACTTTTTATGTTGATTCTCCACTGAAACTTCAGAGTATCAGGAAATAAACGCACTGACTGCACCTCTTGTCATCTAGCCCTTTAATCCTCAAATATCAAAAGGCTAAAAAAGCAGAAAACTGTAGCTGAAGAGCAACTCCAGCAGACTTAAGCTCTTCTAGCAGCTGATTTGGAAGTGAAGAGACTAGCAGAAACAACAGTAGGAGAGGGGCATTTAAGTGAATAACATGGCTTCACTAAGGGGAAATTCTGTCTGACTGATTTGGTGGCCTTCTATACTGGGACTACAGAACTGATGGATAGGGGCAAAGCAGTTGATATTGTCCACCTGGACTTGTGCAAAGCATTTGGCACTGTCCCGCATGACATCCTTGTCTCTAAACTGAGAGGCATCAATCTGATGGATGGACCACCCAGTGGATGAAGAATTGGCTGCATGGCGACATGCAAAGAGTTGTCAACAGATCAATGTCCAACTGGAGACAAGTAACAAGTGGCGTCCCTCAGGGATCTGTGTTGGAACCAGTCTTGTTTAACATCTTTGTCAGTGACATAGAGAGTAGGATTGAGTGCGCCCTCAGCAAATTTGATGATGACACCAAGCTGTGTGGCTCGGTTGATACGCTGGAGGGAAGGGATGCCATCCAGAAGGACTCCGACACGCTTGAGAGGTGGCCAATGTCAACCTTATGAAGTTCAACCAAGCCAATTGCAAGGTCCTACACCTGGGTCGGGGCAAGCCCAGGCACAGCTACAGGTTGGGCAGAGAAGTGATTCAGAGCAGCCCTGCAGAGAAGGACTTGGGGGTGTTGGTTGATGAGAAACTGAACATGAGCCAGCTTCAGTGTGCGCTTGCAGCCCAGAAACCAACCGTATCCTGGACTTCTTTTGGTAAAGAAGCATGACCAGCAGGTCAAAGGAGGTGATCCTGCCCCTCTACTCTGCTCTCATGAGAACCCACTGGGAGTACTGTGTGCAGTTCTGGTGTCCTCAGCAGAAGGACATGGAGCTGTTGGAGCAAGTCCAAAGGAGGCCATGAGGGTGATAAGGGGGCTGGAGCACCTCCCGTATGAAGACAGGCTGAGAATGTTGAGGCTGTTCAACCCAGACAAAAGAAGCTGTGTGAAGATCTCATAGCAGCCTTCCAGCATCTGAAAGGGGCCTACAAGGATGCTGGGGAGGGACTCTTCATCAGGGACTTTAGTGATAGTACAAGGGGTAACAGGTTTAAACTTAAACAGGGGAAGTTCAGGTTAGATAGAAGGCAGAAGTTCTTTACAGTGAGGGTGGTGAGGTGCTGGAACAGGTTGCCCAAGGAAGTAGCAAATGCTCCATCCCTGGCAGTGTTCAAGGCCAGGTTAGACAGAGCCCTGGGCGACATGGTTTAGCATGAGATGTCCCTGCTCGTGACAGGGTGGTTGGAACTAGGCGATCTTGAGGTCCTTTCCTTTCCCTAAAGATTCTATGATTCTATGATAGATAAAATGAACAAAAAAAAAACCAAAAAACCAAAAAATTAGTAAAAAGACAGACTGCTAGCAAGTCTGAAACTCCTGAGCTCTGCTTCCTTTAACTAATACAGTCTGCACAACACCCTTCGAAACTCACTGTTAGCCTTACCGGTAATTTCAGCAAGAAGAAGAGAAGTATCTGTGTAAATTGTCGCAAAGTAGGAAGCAGTAGTCGTACCATTCTTTAGAGTTCGTCTCTATAAAAAGAAATCAACTGTTTCAACTGTCTGGAAAAAAGATAGTGAAGCTGCCAAAATACAGAACAGGCAGTCTGATTTCAAACTGCAAGAACATTTAGTTATTTTGAAATTGTGCAGTGAACTGAGAAAGTAAAATATAGATTTTTAAATTCATAATAGCTATTTTAAGTCTGAGTGTTAATAAATACAAAAAACTCCTCTTCCAAATCCACACAGGACTTCCACAAGTATGGCTAAACCCATACAAACCATTCTGTGTTTCCTTCACTCAAGCTGGAAATAAATTCTGACTTCTACTTAGAAATACAACCTGTCATTTACGCTATTTCATGGTTTTGAAAGGCTCTCCAAATTTCACAGTGAAGCACTGTTTACCTAATGCTAGCAAAGCAAGGCTTTTGGGAAAAAAAGTAGTGGTTTTCATTTGGTCACCTGACATAGCTGGTAAAACCAGCCAGACTTTCATGTATAACACCCCTTTGCCATGCCTGAATACAAAGGAATAAACTTCAAGGTAAAAGTAAACTAAGAACAACTGCTTAGAGTGTAATTTAATTATTTAATTATACCATTTGAAAGAAGAGGCTGGTTGATACCTGATTATATTACTTTGGGAGGACACAAACAGTAAATGAAGAGCTATATAAACGTACATTAAGCCATGATGAAATTTATAGCTTCACTTGACTAGACTAATGCATACTATATTGACTACCCATCCATCATACAGGTTTAAATTACACTTTTGGATCCTGGCTACAATGTAATTTGAGAAATTTTTTAAATTTTTTTTAAATGAGATAGAAGGTGGGACACTCAACACAACTTTCGAGGATGGCTAAAGCAAATATTTTACAAACATGAAGGCAAGCTCTCTTTTCCTTACAATGTTAAAATTAAAGCAAATGATTAAAAATATGTTTTTAAGGGTTTCTAAAATGACTCTCAAAAATAACAATGTCATTACTGAGACAAACTACTTGGGTCTTTCTTAGCTTTTAAACCCCGAAATTCTCTACTTCTGGATTCCTAACATCATTGTTAAATTAAACCTAAAAACATTCTGTTTCCAAATCATCAGCTTGAAGAATGTGCTTTCCTAAATGTGGACCAGAGGAGGTACCAGGTAAAATATGGTAAGTGTCACCTACTTCGTTTCTTTGACCAAGTGTAGAAAGTCTTTACTGGAAACAGAATTTTGATTTGAAAAAAATCACTATTATTTCATTACAAGTCCAAAAGTACAAAGATACATACGAAACAACATCTGCTCCCTGTAGGTTTAGTCCTGTTTCTAACAGTTTTAGACAAATGCAAGGCAAATTATGCTGGCCAAATCATTTAATCTGTTGAAAGTATTTCAGTCCGCATATTAAAGGATACGTTTCAGTTATAAGACAGAATCAGTATTCTGCAGTGTGACCTGCTTATTGTTCATCAAGTGGAATTTGACCTTAAAGCTCATGACATTAAAACATGCTCTACTATTTCTGGTGACCTTCTGAAAACATACATGTATTTCACAAGTATGAATGTCATCAAGTAGGTAAATTATATTTGCAGTACTTACAACAACTCTGGTGTACACTTCTTCTGCAAAGTCACTGTCTTTGAATTTGGCTTCTGTTGGGAATGTGTAGGTAGTCAACCACTGCAAAAGAGGTAGATCTACTCTTGTACCAACAAATGAATACTGGGGAGCATGAATGTGTGTATCAACCATTCCTGGCATGTGGAAAGAAAATAAAACTGTAATAGTCCAAAATATCAATAAATTTTCCACAGAAAGTGGTTTTGCTTTAAACAGTATTTGAGCAACATCCACCACAGTAAACAGCAAATACAGATTAGCCTTCCACTTTCAGCATCAGCCTAACAATCCCTACTGCACCTCTATCCATACACCTTTTACAGTATAAAGCAGTTGAGTAATAACTTTTATAGATTTATATATAGCTAACAGGGAAAACAATGTAAGAGCATGATGAATCCAATTATCTTTAATAACACTAAATACCAACAAATAAAGCCAAACCGACTTCATAATAACTAAAATTATTCAAGCTTAGAATCCACCCGAAAAAAGAGATTTGGGGACAGTCTTGCTTCCTAGTATGGCTATATTTGGAATACCTTTAGCTACCAGAACATTATATTTACAGAACAGTAACTTTCTATATCCCAGTTTACCTAAACATATGTGTCTCTATATATATTCAATAAAGGAATTTCAAGGTTTAATGGAAGAACAGCCACCATGTCTATAAATGCAGACAGACAACAGTGAAAAAGATCTCTACTGAATATCTGGACAGGAAAGGCATCTTTACGATGGACTTCTAACACTGTTTGTTGTCATGTAGTGTTTGTGCAATAACAGGGATGAATATATCAAAATTTTGATGGAACTTCATACAGTATAAAATTTTTCACACTCCCCTTCTCCCCGGCTACTGAATGAACAGTGATGTAGTCTCTTTGTACTTTCCTTTCTTCCTGTTTTCCTGCATGGTAGAAATGCTGAAAGACCTTTCACAACCTGATCCATATTCCCAGCACTTTCCATTTTCCTCAGGCTATTTGAAGTGAAGAAAACATCTGATGACTCATATATACTGTATGATTAGCCTTCCAACAAAGCATAGAGGTTTTTTAACAACTGAACACTAAAACAGTGCTGCAGCTCTAAATTCTAAGCCACAAGTCGTTCACAGTTCGACACTTTACAGCTGCTACATACGAAGCATCACAGATGCAATCCAAAACTATTTTACTTCACCAGAAAGGTGGGGGATTTCACTGGCTGAAGAAAAAAGAAACACTCAAGCTGCAATACAGTTAGAAATCCAAGTCTCTGTGTTTAGAAAGTTTAAATATTCTAATTTTATCAGAATTTATTAGGGACTGTGTCAAAGCCCAAGCAACAGTCTTGTATCTGTAGTGTTAGTGTCACCTGTATTGACTAAGTATAGAGTTTAGAGCTACTTAGGCACAGCACGTTGCTAACAAAATGGATATGTTCAAGAAAGAACATAATTTACTTGTTGTCAAGGTCATGTATGACAGCTACATATGGCATTTTGTTCCTTGCAGTGTAAATCAGCCAGTACAATTTAGCCATGGCTGCAGTCACAAACCAAGGAATACAAAAAGCCTGCAGACCATCCACCCTCCAAGTCCCATCCAGGATGGAGGCAGTTCTTGGGTTAAGAGTTCTTACAGAGCTGAAAGGGGGTTTTGCCCACGAGATTGGATATAATGTGCTCCCTGCCAAAATGTATTCACAAAGACTTGCATTAGTTCACTCAGAGAATAAACTGCATTTGCTGAAATAAATCTAAACAAAACACATACTGGTTACTCAGTTCTCTTATGTCAGACGTTTTGAACCCCCACTTCCTAGCCAGTTGCTCTTGCTGATCAGTTTGTTCCAAAAACACAATCTAGAAGAAAGAAAACATAGTTAGATACTTTAAACCTGTATCCCTCATCAGCTTTACGTGAAGGCAAAATGAGTCACATCTTACAACAGATTTTGCACACGCACTATAAAGGTTATAGTTTTCCACTGAAACACTTGTTCTGCCTCACTATCAAGCATGATTTTGAAATGCCTACTTGCAATACAGTGAAAAACCGCACCCACTTTGTAACTTGTAAGGAAACAATTAATTCATTCTCAAGTAATGAGACTTCAAGTAATGATTCTCAAGTAAGGACTTCAGTGTCCAGCGGTGTTCCTGTAACATACCACTATGCTAGCAGAGTGGTTGTTCATTGTGGAGGTGTGCAACAGGCTTACGGGAATGCAATTACAGTATTCAGAACCAGACGGGTCAAATTAATTGTTTTACCCAGGACTGACTAGCACTGAGCTAAGTATTTTCTAATTTTCTGCTCATGTCATTAATGTTGCTTTTTTTGCTTGGTTGGGCTTGGTTTTATTTTTATTCATTTTATTTCTTAAGTGTCTAGGAAGAGAAAGTGAGGGGGAAAAGAAGTGTGTTCATTTACCAGAACAGACTTCAACCATGCCTGAGATCTTTGTTTATGTCAAAAAAACTACAATCTGGAGCCTAACTCAGCCCCATTTGACTCTTAGAGGACAATGACGCTACTGCTGCTGAGTTTCTGTTGCCAAGTCAGAATTTCAGCACACTTTATTTTTAAATTGCATGGCATTTTAATCTGCAACATGACGCTTGGCAGCTGAATCCTCAACTGTTTCATTCTCTGGTCTGGCAATAACAGGCACAACTCTCCAAGAAACTAAGTGGGGAGTCTAGGAACTGCAATGCTCGCCACAGGCTCCAGGTGGGATCTAGGCTCCCACAACACTTCACAGAGCAGATAGAGGACCCTGCCGCCTACCCCTGCAAAAGACTGTCTGTCTATCCTGGGCTTTCAGGAATTCTTGCCTAACCACAGTTTCTGCAAGAAAACAACTCATGGTCGTCTAACTCTCTTGGTGTTAAAGCTCATTCCTCTAAGTTCAAGGGAGTACTCTTGCTGCTATTGGTATCCTTCTGCTCCTGTGAATACTGACGGCCTGTATTACCCTCATGACAGCAGTTATATTATGAGGCAGCAATTAAAAAAACATGTAAAGGCAAGATCAAATAGCTGTAAAAAGGTGGTAGAAAGGAACATAGGAGGAAGATCAAGAGGACCAGAAGAGCACTGTTTATCAGTTACTTCCATGCCCTTTTTTATGTGTATGACATAACCTTTTGCATTTTCTACCTTTTTGTATAGAGAAAGATAAGCAAAGGCAGCTAAGCTGTAGACAAGGTTTTGGCTGCCTAGTCGTGTAAATGCACATATGGCTTATATGATTTACATCGTCTAAAAGTAGATGTTTAAAATTTTTAGTCACAAAGTTAAAATTATACTATATGAATAAATACCACACTAGCAAAAATTGTAAGAATACTGTAGTCCATTAATACTTCTCATGAAGCAGCATCTCTCCTAAAGAGGAATATATCCCGCTTATTTAGCTATATATCTGCAAAGGGCTTAGACTAGAAACATACAGAAATTTCTGATGAGCAATAAAGAAAATGTCACTCTGATGCTGAAATCAAAATGGATGCAGAATGAGTATCATTAGAGCTGCAGGAAAAAAGGGAAAAAAATAAAAGGGGAGGGGGGGAAAGGAGAACGAGAGAGAGAGAGAGAAACATGAAACACCAGATGGCAAATTCTGGAAACAAGCGTTGCCATGGAAAAGAAGTGGCTATTATATGCTTTTACAGTGCAGATAAATAAAACAGTGAAATCATGGAAGTATGAAGAGAATATATTTCAAGGGAGATGGATTCAAGGGAATCGACCTTAAACTTGACACCTGGTCCATTACTGTCAAATGCAGCAATAGATGAATCAGCAAGATATCTATACTCATTGCAAATAAACTTTCCAACAGCACTCCTTGGTTACCCAAGAGATGTTCCCCATTGCTTTAGGATGTTTTGCTATGGCCACCTTTCCAACATCAAATGCTTTAAGGTCTTTAAGGTTGGACATTTGTTTGAGTATTTGCTTGTACATTCAAGATAACCAAAGTGGCGCACTGGTACTTTAAATTAGTTCTGGGCCTTAACACTGTTAAAGCAAGAAAAAAACTCTATGGCAGAGTCACTAGTGTCAACAGACGTGCACAGGCAAGACTTCAGCTTGTAAAGAAAGAAGTCAAGAAGAATAGCCAGCGCTTTGAGAGAGTTGTACCACAGAAGCAGGATCAATGACTGCTAACACCAGTGCCCAAATACTTCATTCAGTTCTGATGTGTCATCTGTGTGATGGTGCTAAAGGATCCAAAGATAAAGAGCTGAGACTTCCCTACCCTGCTGCCTAGCTCAGGCCTCTTTTATTCCAAGACAGAGAATCAACCAGGTTGGAAAAGACCTTTAAGATCAAGTCCACCACTAACCTATGTCACTAAGGGCCTCATGTACGCAGTTTCTGAATGCTTCCAGCTACAGTGATTCCACAAGCTGGCTCATATTCAGCCATCCATGAGCAGCACCAGGTCCTTTTCTGCTGAGCAGCTTTTCAGCCACTCTTCACCAGCCTGTAATGTTGCATGCGGTTGTTATGACCCAACTGCAGGACCTGGCAGTTTGCCTTGTTGAGCCTCATATCACTGGCCACAGCCCATCAATCCAGCCTGTCGAGATCCCTCTGCAGAGCCTTCCTGCCCTCCAGCAGATCAACACTCCAGCCAACTTGGTGTCATCTGCAAATTTACCACCGAAAGCTCCTCCATCAATGCATGGTTGGTCCACTAAACTACACATCAACCCTGATGCGATAAACTGAATGCCTCCAAGCACCACAGTGCAAATAACTTTGCTATCAAAAGAATGGAAAGTGAATGTTACTGGCTGGAGAAACACAGAGGGTTGTGGTTTTTTATCCAGAAGTGCTTGAGTTAACTTTGTTTCTGGCTGACATTCATAAATGAACATATCTAAGGGGTCCATCCTTGTTTCCCCTCCCACATGCTTCTCTTACCTCCTTGTTCCTACAGTGATTAATTGACTTTTGCAATTAGAGACACGACACCTATTGCTTGCCCAGTTCCCAAAACTGGAATGTGATATTAGATGAGAGGCAGGACCCAGCTCCGGAATGAACAGCCCAACCTGCTGAGAAAGGCTAAGCAACAAACTCCAGATGGATGTTGGTGTCTTGGTACCTTCCTCCTTATACAGCTAACACACGTCACATGTTATCCCAGCTGGCTTAAATCAAACACTTATGTTTGGCAGTACTTAACAGTATTAACTCTTACTCCGCAACACTTGCTCTCTTCATGCCTTCAACAGGAGGTTTTAGCTTGATACTAGTTCTATTTACTTAATATTCTACTTAGCTGATTACACCAGCATTTCAATGATAACTCACATTTTGCATCTCTGTCTGTTTCTTTCACTCTGAGGAATAGTCATCTATTTGTCATTCTTCAAGAGCGGCACCACACTCCTCTCCAAACTGCCATTTAAACACACTCCTGATTCTGGCAACTTAACAGTAACTTGGGTCTTCATACCTGAAAGCAGCATTTTCCTTGCTAAAGCTCCCTTTAAACCTACAGACAAAGCACAAAGAGCTGACATTTCACCTGCAGGCTTTATCAGCCAAGTGTCCCCGGTTGCAGTGGGAGTCTGGGCAGTGTTTCTGTGGCACTGGTTGTATGTGCCTGTCCCTTGGAGGACAGGCAGGGACTCACACTGGAGAGCAGTACTTTGCTGTTCACAAAAGATGATCTGTTCACCCTGTCAGAGGCAGTGCAAGATTTTTCCATGATGGAATGAGCAACATGAGTCAGAAGAATGATACCTATTTAGTTAAGCTTATTTCTCTGGGAGTAGTACTGAAATAGTTTTGGTTGAAAATTTGGACAATAAAGGTAAGCAATTTTCTAACCACCATGTCCTCCTTGAAGAGCCAGCTCTTCTGTGATTTCAGTGGAAGTTCTGCATGAGGTTAAATTATAAGTAATAGGATAAAAGGTGCCAAAACTCACTATTATCAGATCTTGGAGTAGTAAAATGCCAAGAATGTGTATTATAATGAATAGAAAATGGAAGTCCTTGTGACTGTATTCTGTTGGGAATTTAATTTTGGACAACAGTGGTGTTCTACTGGAAAATAGTTTTTTTTTAAAAAAAAACCTTAACTGCATGGGAATATTCCAATTTATGCAAGGAAAACAATATCCTTGTCCACTAGAATAGGGGAAAAGAGTAACTGAGAGCACAAATCCTTAGGTATAGCTTAATAAGGTACCTGCTGTTCAAGAAAAATCACTTAAAAGGCTTGATTTCCTAAGGAGGCTGAGTAGAAACCCTTTTCTGGAAATTGCCATTACAGACAGCGAGAGAGGTATGAGTCTTTGCCTCCTACATCCAAGTTACACAAACCAAACCTTTTTTCATTCATAGCTCTATTGTTTTAGTTGACACCAGCCGACACGGAATTATCTAAGCTTTCATTCCCCACCCATACATGAAAATACAGCTTCTTCGAGACTTTGCTATGTCTTGCACCAGACTCCTCAAGAGCTGTAAGATGGCTGTCTTTAAGCAGGCCCTCATGGACCTGTATGAACAGAGGAAAAAAACACTGTAAGGGCTGAAAGTGTGCTTTGCACAGATTTCAAATGCCACTGACACAATGATGCCTGTTATTTAGCCATAAGAAAGAAAAATACCTCTTTTTACTATATACACAGGGTACTTACATATGTTATTGAGTCTGTAAGAAAACTTGGCTTGTGCTACTAACATGCCCCACGTCATCACCTTCCTAACTCCTCTTAGGTATATGCCATGGTTTATCTTGTGACAACAAAAAAAAACCCCAACAAAAATAACGCCTTAGGCAGAAGGCTGTGCATGAGTACAGGGGGTACACTGTAATTATGTAC